TCTTCTTTGGATTTTGTCAAGAATCTCTAGATACATAGAAGTACCAGATTAGATGTGGCAGCAATATTCAATGAATGAACGAATGCTAGACTTATAAATTTATTAGATAGATTCTGATGAGAGAAATTGCCTAGCATGAGACAGTTAACCAACTTTCCTAGCAGCAAACTTAGAAATTGATTCAATATGATTATTCCACATGAAATGATTATATCAAATCAGTTAAGTTTATGTTGAGCAACACATAAAATAATTGTAACTGCTTTTGAAATTTTAGACATGATTTGCAAGCAAAGAAAGACAATTAACCAATACACTATAATCCAGAAAAGTACATTTATTTTTGATAAACATATTTATTAGGATTTTAATTCTGAAAATTAAGAAAGAATTCTTTCCCATTTCATATTTGATATTTTTGCAAACTTCCATAATGGAGAAATGTCAAAGGTTATAATTTGAAATATGGTTAAGATATGATCCTTCATCACTTGTTTATACAGAAGAATCAAATAATTTCTGCTGAAACATTTTTATGTTTACTGGATTTTAATAAATATTATTTTTTCATTGTTTTAATTAAATTGTGGAAAAATCATTTCCAGAGATTATTACTCATTAAGACTGCACTAAACCATATTCTATAATGGCTTGACTGTGTATCCTAGCAACCAGTAACCAATAAAAATCATTGCTCAATTTTCAAATGCCAGATATTTAAATAATGAAATATTTTTTTGTTTTTTATTTCTTTTCTTATTTAGAAAAATTCATGGCTAGAATTTTATAAATAAGCAATCGACTACTCATATTTTGAGGTGGACATTTAGAATGAAAAATCTTTATAAATATAAATAAACAGATTTTATTGATTTTAACTTTAATTTTTTTGGTTTCTTTTTTTGTCATTTTTTGACAAATATCCCTTATGTAAACATTGATATAAATTCAGAAATTTGGAAAATTTCAGATTAAACCAAAGTATTCCTGTCTTTTATTATTATTATTATTCACCCAATACAAAGCCTAAGTGCCAGTCAATGTAGAGGCTTACTGAATGAGGATGTTACAAGCATGTATGGAGAAGGAACAAGAGTTACATATTATTAGGATGTGTAGGATAGATAAAGGCTAATACTTGGAACTCTATTCCACATTGCTGGGAAATTAGCTGTCTGAGTGTAATGTAGTTCACCCAAAATATAGCAGCAGAGTATCAAGTGATGAGCAATGTTTTGTATGGTAAAAGGTTTGAAGGACAAAAACAATTCATCACCCACAAGGCTGTGCACTACTTTTGAACTCTGTTGAAGCTGGAAAATGAGGATGAGGCTGCTTTGATCCAGATGTGACAGCAATACTTGATTTAGGGGTCTGATCTGGCTATTGTAGAGTTAGGGAATGTTGAAGGAATTAGAGACTTTCTTGAGTGGTGCAGGACATTAAAATTTGCTTGAAACCTTTTGATATACATACTGATGTTTTTGTTTTAAGAAAAAGGAAACTAAAACTTCTTTCTGACAGAAAGTCCTTATTGGAGTACTTGTTTTTTAAATTATTGGCTTACGCCAATATCAAGTTGAAACAAAGTTTCTCATACAATCACCAAAATTAAACAATGTCAGAACTGGTCAGTATCTAGATATGTTATCACTTGGGGATATCCTTCTGCAGAACCACATTTCTATTGCCTCAAGTCTCTTCTTCATTTGTGAGATTGTCCAACATTACCACTATATAGGATGACTGCTATTAGATAATAGTGCACTACTCTTTGTTTCTAATGAAATTTTCCTGTTTCTTAAACACTTTGCTTAGTTTTTGGAAAGCATCTTTCACATGTAGTACTTAATTATAGATTATTTATACAATTGGGAATGATAAAGACACAAAGACAGTCATAAAATTTCTGGCATTTTTTATGAGTACAAAAAAATTCTGAAGTCTGAACATTTTCCCATGTAAAAAAAAAGCAGAAATATTTGGTTTTTCAGTGCTTTTTAGTTTCCAGAATTTCAAATAATCTGCTCAATCTATATTCCTATCTGGCAAATCTGGCAACCCTTGTTTGGGTATAAATTTATCTCATTGACTAAGATTAAGTTTATCAAGCAAACATTCAGATCTACACTTGATAAATTCCATCTTACTATTTTCCTCTCTTGAAATATTAATCTGCTCTCTTTTGGACTGTAAGTATTGATTGCTGCTCTGTATATATTTTTGAATAGTTCCTGATTATCGATTTCACTGTGTTACTTTTATTTACAACCAGAGTTATTGCTTCCTGAATGAAGCTAAAGTTTTTGACCTACTTTGATTTTGAATTGAGCAATAAATCATCTTACTCAAGTATTGATCAGTTGGGCAAGAGGCCTTGAAATGTAAACCAATTTTTTCTCACCAAATGTGCAATCTCCTGAGTTCTTCTTCAGGGCAATATTTATTGAGACATTTCATTAGATTCAATCATATTGGGTCAAGGCACTAATTTTGAGTAGAAAAATCATTTGTAACAAATAGTTTCTGGTCAATTCTCAAGATCAATAAGTTATTTTATGACTGCATGATTTTTCTAATTGAGAAAACCTCACAAATTTTAAGAATATTTTCCTTATCTTGAATTACTACAACTCATATTCATGATAGCCTTTTTTCTCTTTGTTAGTAGAAAAAATTCATTGACTCATGACCCCTGACAAATACTTTCATAAATGTTTAAAAAACATTTGATTATTCATCAAATCAAAAAAAAAATGTCCATGCATCACAAGCTGATGAATATTGCTGCCATATCTGGTTTGTTGCTTCTGCTATATATCTAGAGATTCTTGATAAAACTCAAAAAAGAATCTGCAATGTTATTGGTCCTGACCTGACGTATAAGCTTCAGTCACTTTCCAGCCATATTAATATAGCATCACCGAGACTTTTCTATAAACATGTTCATGATAATTGTTCTGATGAGCTCTCATCTTTGGTACCTCGACTTCACAAATTTAAGCACAATACTAGATTGGCAGATAGTCCCCATCATTTTACTATTCATCACAATGAAAAAAATTGTCAAACATCACAAGCAGATGAATATTGATGCCACAGCTATATATATATATCTAGAGATTCTTGAGAAAATATAAAAGAATCTGCAATATTATTGGTCCTGACCTGGCATATAAGATTCAGTCACTTTCCAACCATATTAATTTAGCATCCCTGAGCCTTTTCTATGAATATTTTCATGATAATTGTTCTGATGAATTCTTCTCTTTGGTACCTTGACTTTAAGCACACTACTAGATTGGCAGCTAGGTCCCATCATTTTATTGTTGAAATTGCTAGATGTAACCATAGGATCTATGCTAACAGTTTCTTTCTCACATTTTTCACTTGTCAAACTCACTTCCAGCTTCAACTTTGATCTTCAAAAGTTTAATAATTGTTAATCAATTGTTATTTTCTGTCCCCTTGAATCCTGTTCTTTTTTTGTTCTCAGATGCTTTCACACTCAGTAAACCTTTCCATCATGGAGGCTTTTATTACCTTGCTTGGAGTGAAATGATAAAGAAAGACTTGATACTTGAAAAACTTCCAAGTAACTCAATTAATCTATAAAAATTCTTTGATGATCATTTGTGAAAACCAAAAGTACTCAGAATACATTAAACAGTTTATGTGTAAATTTTGCTTGGAAGCCCAAAAAAAATAGTTCAAACAAAAGAAGAAATAAATAAAAAAATCCTTAAACAAAAAACTTTAACTGGACATCAAATAATCAAATGCATGAATGAGAAATTGATGCCCAAATAAACCCTGTGTGTATGATGTGCAAAAGTATTTTTAGGTCACTGGAGGAGTCCACTCCATTGTGACAAGCAAATAACCTGTCGATATGTAATGGACACATAAATAAGCATTTCATTCATTTCTGTTCTCTCTGTATTGAAATTATCTGATGACATAGTAACAATAGAATTTTCTCTTATTTTATTTTTAAATATATTTTTTATTTTGATATTAAAAACTTAAGATAATATGATGTTTACTTCCTTACAAATGCTAAAGGAATTATAAACTAAAAATGACTCTTTAGATTTAAAATGAATTATGTTTAAATATATATACATATTTAAAAAACCTAGTGAGCCAAGACCTACCTACCACATTTTCACCTAATGGATCTACAGGGTACTACTGGCCAGTAGTACCTTGAAGCTCTGTGAGGTGAAACCATGGTAGGTAGGTTCCTATTTGAGACTTGGCCTAGGACAACTCTGAATTCAAAACTTCAGTGGTTAGTGAGTAAACTGGCTCCCTTACCAGACCCTGGTCTTGTGAGGAGGGTAAGTGGAGTTTTTAAGGGGCATTAACTCCTCAGAGTCAACAGCTATCCACCCTCAACTATGTGTTAACTAACCTCACCTCACAATTGGCCAAGTATGTTGAGTACATATACACCTGAAGACATGGTCAATCAGTGGGAGGTTCCTCTAACAGGAACATTTAGGTTCTGGATTAAGATATGATTTTTTTTCAAACTATTTTATTTTTCTTGACATGATTATTATTATTTTTACTGAAAGAAAAAAAATATCAAGGTTTTCCTTAGTTGAATCCCCAAACAGATAGCACTTTACAAACAGTTGAGATACTTTAAAAAAAAGTATTAAATTGTTTATTTATATGTGGACTATTATCCTCATTTGTGCTTTTGTGATAATAACAACAAAGTTGAGAACAGTAGATCAAATGTAAATAATACAAATGTCAATAACTCTTTATCCCAGAACATCAGACAGAAATTATTAAATTTCTTTGTAATTATAATATAGATTACATTTATTGATGCAATTATATTCTTAGTTTCAATGTCTGTTATGAAATACAAAGTCAAAAGATTTTAAAAGATTTCATTTTCATGTCATCTCTGAATTACTTTCTAAGAAGGCATATCTGTTGGTTTAACTGAATTCTTTCTCATATTTTTCTTTTTAAAACAGGATCAATATGAATTTATCTACCTCGCCCTTGTGGAGAGTATATTCCTGCAGGACACACATGTATCAATTGAAGATTACCAAAGTTATTACCAAAATATGATTATCCAGAATGACCAAAATGATTGCTCCAAGACACTGCTGCAGCAACAATTCCAGGTAAGTTATTTCTGTTCTTGAGGTAATTAGGGTTCTATGCAAGAATGAATATTCCCAATTTTCATTTCCCCATTATAGGCATTGTTATATCTGTTATATAGTATCATCTTGATACACAGCTGGAGCAGAATAGATGAAAGAAAGGAATGACAATCATGCATGATTCTCAAAGAAATGTTTTTTATACTGATATGCATGTACATATTACTAATTTGTCCCACACTAACACCTTTTTATACATATGTAGACAACAAATAATGTGAAACATGAAAAGAGAGAGGATCCTACTTGGAATATTTACCAACAGGAAAAAAAGCCATTCAGTGGTGTCTTTTATGTTTCTGGTGAGACCATCTGGGTTCATCATATTCAACCTGCCACAGTGGGCTTGTTGCATTCGTCTTCTCTATGGACTACATAGCAACTAGCATTCAACACTCTATGAACTAGTTGTTACATAACCTACATAAAGTCATCTCAACCAATGGGAGATAATTGCCACTTACATCTCTACAGAGGGAAGCAATACATTATATATATATATATATATATATATATATATATATATAATATATATATATAATACCAATTTGTAATTGGTAGAGACACTTCCAAAGAGGACATTAATCCAGTGAGAGCTCAATGTAAGAACAGAGCAATATAATGATAAATCAAATTATAATTTATTTCATGAATATTGTTATATTCATCTCTTCAGACCAAAAGTTTTTAAGAAATGCTTAATAATTGTAATATGCAAAAAATATTTGTGAATATGAAAAGATTATGATCAAAATAAGTAGACATAATGCTTGTAATTTATTCAATCAGACATGCCTAAAAGAGAATTTGCTGCTGAAATACGCATACACACACACACACATATATATATATATATATATATGTATGTATAGATTATTTAATAAAACAAAGACAAATGAAAGGGTACCAATATAATCAGTACAAAAACATTTATTAAATATTAATTATTAACTATATAACAGAAATGATGCACAGAAAGTAAGATTTTATATCTGGAATTTTCAGACACACCTGTGTCCTTCATCAACAGAGTGAGAGATAAACAGAGAAATGGGAATTACTCACAGATGTTTTGTGGATGGTGTATTTTCTGGTGGAGATCATATTATTAGCAAAAACCCAATCTCTGTCTGATTACTCACCGTGCAAAACTTTTTTATGAAAATAAGCTTAAATTTAAAATTTTGATTGATGTAAAAGCATTAGGCTGGTCTATTATTAGTAGTAGGAGAAATGGGTGAGTGAGATTGTAAACATAGATGAAGAAAGTTATAGGTTGCTGAGTGGGGAAAATGTCTCATGTGTAGCTAGTGTATCCAAAAATTGTTTGACCAAGTTGTCAATTTCAGAAAGAGAGGCTGTAGTTAGAGTAACATCTGACAAGACAAAAAAAGTGAGGAACAAAGGAATATATAGTAATAAAATAAAATGAAAAGAAAAAGGAAAGATCATATATAAAACATTTGGATAAAAATTTGGAAATTTTATTGTTAAAAAAACGTGGGGGTGAAGAAAAAATAGACGGGAAAAGTGTATACATATATAGATGTGTATGTGTATGTAAGTGCACAGAACAGTGTGTAGATATACACAAGCCACCATGCAAATGAATGAATCTTATGAATCTCAATACATGTAAAGATATAAATACATAATGCAAGATTAATATGTATCTACGCTAACCTTCCACACTCATTACATAAGCTATAATTATAGAACCAAAGATGGTATAAAAGTGGGTGACTGGAAAGTAGTCCTCAGTGTACAGGGCAATACTTCCATTACTGAATAGCGCGTAATGAGAGAAATCATAGTTGGCAGAACATAAAAATATAGTCGGTAGGTGATGACTTAAAATTTGGAGTTAAAATGTGGGTGGAGGGCCTACACATCCAAGGAGTAGTATTGCTGATAATGGGTTTCCTTGTGGAAATTATACTCTCTGAGTAAACCCAAATCTCTGTTTAGTCCCTTTATGTGGGAATTTACTTTTAGAATATGCTTCAGCTCTAATCTGCATCTATCCTTCCGGCTAATGAACCCAGACACTAAAAGCACACACTGACATTGTCAATGCTATGACTAGGTTGGTTGAGATGTACAGATGCTGAGAAATTGTTGTCATTGTCCCTGATGCTTTTCTTGTGATTATTGAACTGTAAATGAAACTCTGTTTCAGTTTCTCCCACATAATTCCCTTTCTTGTATTTGTGACAGAAAAGAAAATATATATATATATATATATATATATATATATATAACAAACTGCTATATCAATGATCAGAATTCATCTCAAAAAATTTTACTGTTACTTAAGAATCAAAAACCAAAAAGAATAAATAAAAATATATAAAATAAAAAAAAATAAAAAAAATTAATCCAAATAAATAAACAAATTAACAAACTGCTCCCACCAAAATAAATATTAGAATAAAAAATAAAAAATAAATAAGCAGAACCAAGTAAAAATAATCAATCCAAGTAAACAAATAAAATAATAAACAAATTAACAAACAAATCCTGACAAAATAGAATAGACTACAACAATCTATCCAAAAAATTGGATGACAAAATAGCTTTAATTATCTTCCCAGACCAAAACAAACTGTTAAATAAATGATCAAAACTAATCTTAAAATAATTTCTTACTACATTAATAAAACATTGAAAACCAAAAAGTATAAATAAATATATAAAATAAAAATAAAAAAAAATTAAGCAAAATAAATTAATCCAAATAAATAAATAAACAAACCACTCCCACCAAAATAACCATTAGAATGTACTACCCACAATGCATCATTGACCCATATATATATAAATAGTCGAGAAAAAACCCAACACATGTGGCCTGATGATTCCATCTAGCATGAAACAGTCTGTCACCCCTCAGTGTTGACTTTTTATATTTACATATATATATATATATATATATATATATATATTGAGTCCTTCATGGAAATAATCTACCAATTTAACTTAGAAGACAACACACGGAGTGAGTAAGATTTGTATGTCCATGATTGTGTTAAGATAAATGCACAGAATTTTCATGTTAATCCATGTATTTCTCCAGTTGATGTGTTTGTAATTCATTTATAAATAAAATTTTACATTGCATTTAATTTTAAAACCTGGCTCTTTCCAAATAATGTTTTCAATGCTTTTAATAATAATGGATATATGCTTGATGTAATGCACATATAAATCTATCTTTAAATTTACCCAAATTGGTTGATTAATACCAATTTCAGTATGAATTCATTGACTTGTATAATAAAATTTGAAACAATATATGTCAATATATATATATATATATATATATATATTCCCAGATCAATTCTGTGGACAAGACAGAATTGATCTGGGAATTTAAATATATTGTCGACATGAGCAAAAAAAAATCCCTTTCTATAAAGGTAATTTACATTAACCAGAAAAAAAGGCTTAAACAGAAGCACCTATCTTTTTAAATTTGGATTTTTTAATGTAACTATAACAACAAAAACATTTCGATTTCATTTTTGCCTTTAAAAAGTTGGAAGGCGAAATGCGTCAGCAAAATCTAAGATTTTTTTCCAATTGTTATTTTATACCATATATATATATATATATATATATATATATATATATATATATATATGTGTGTGTGTGTGTGTGTGCAGGTATGTAGAAAAATAGGAAAGAATACAGCTCTCGTTTTTGAAACATGAGAACTCTTAGGTAGCGAAGGAATCATATTTTAAAAAATAATATATTATATATATATATATATATATATATATATATATATATATATATATATATGAATAAAGACAAAAGGAAAACTTAGCTAATGTATTTTGCCCTTTGTAAGTTTCTTTATCAAGGCAAACTTTTGCCTTGATAAAGTCCCTCATAGGATGAAAGTTGTTGGCCAAGGTAAGTTTTCCTTTTGTTTTAATTCATAGTCCTTTTATAGACAGACTCGATCTGAAATTTTTACAAAAAAAAAAAAAAATATATATATATTTTATTACTTCAAATATTATTTTCAGTGGATACGTGTAATTGAGTATAACATCTAAATTTTTTAAACAGTGTTTATTTTGTCTAACAGCCTGTGCACTTGATTCAAGAAAACTTAATAAAGAAAATGTGCTTTCCAGCAGTTACAAACCTGCATTTGCTTCATAGAAGAAGCCATCATCTAATCTGGTGTGCTTTAGATCACTTGGCTATGGAAACTCTCACAACCAAGCAAGATATCATTTATCTTAAAATTTCTGATTCAGATTTTTTCTCAAATGCCATATCTACTCGGTTTCATATCTAAAGTGTAAACAAAATAATTTCTAAAGACTTAATGGAATTTTTATTTTAATCTAACATATTTTTATTACTTCAAATATTATTTTTTATATTTAAGAACATGATAATGATATATATATATATATATATATATATATATATATTATACATGGTGGAATAAATTTCCTATTAAAATAGAATTTCTACCTTCCAAATAGAATAAGCATCTTCAGCTTTTGGTTTAATCTCTTCCTATTGTTAGTATGATTTATAAATATCCTATTTCCAAACATATAACAAGTATGGTATATTTTGACAAGGGATATTTGGTAAATACTCCACAGATGATTTATCTATATTTATTTACAGATTTTTTTAAAAATTGTTTTTACATTACTCTTTGGAGGAGATTTTTGGGCCCCAAAAAATGAGTACATTATATGGTTAGGAATATAGTGTGTGAAATTGTTCTATTATTGACTAGATTTTGTTAACACAGATTTCTGCTGTTAAAGTGATTAGAATATACTGTTACATTGTTTTTTTAATAAGATGGTGCAATTCAAATATCTCCCTTTATCAGTCTACTCTACAATCTCATTACAGACTTGTCAATTGATCGGCTTATTTCCTTGTGACCAAGAAGTTCACTTCAGTTCACTCTTATA